AATGCCCCAGGGGTGGTATCTCGTCGGGCTGTTGATATATGGGTGATGGGAGGGTGATGGGTGATCGGGAAGGGGAAGGGGAGGTCAGGGGTTAAGTGAGAGAGAGAGAGGGAGGGAGGGAGAAGGATGGGAGGGGGAGGGAGGGAGAAGGATGGGAGGGGATAGGTTGAGGGGGGAGGGAGAGGAAGTGTGCTGTGAGAACCTGTATGCCTGATTTTTTTTTCTTTAGTGTTTGCTGGTGAAATGAGATGTTATTCTGTTAATTTTGTTTTTTATGTGCGCGATGGAGTGTTTGTTGGTTTTAGGCCTACCTGTCTTTCTACTCGGTGTGGGTGCGTGCTTGTGTGTGTCTGATTTCGTGCGTGCGAAAACGCTTTCTTTTTTCGGCTGAGTTCACGATCTGAATCCATCGCGAATCCATACCACTCATTCAAATGCACCAATTAATAACGAGACAGTACAAGAAATTACCAATCGTTTGTATTCCGTGACCGTTATTTCCCGATCTTTGTTTTATCCTCCGGTCACATGGAGCCGCCATGTTGTTTACCTCTCCGCTCGGCGTCTCTGCGAAAGGCGCTGTCATGGCCGCGACACCTCTCCTTCCGCACAATAGATCTCATAAATAGAGGTTGGAGATGGTTGCTGATAGCGCCCGCCAGGTCCGCACTTATTCTATTCCCCGAGAGATGGCAGATCTGACCGTCTCCACGTGCGCTTTTGTTCGCCTCGAATGCGCGCGCGGACCGTGAGAGAAGAGAAACAAAAGACGAGCGCACTTTCACTCTCCGTCGGACACGCACACCCACACATGCGTCTTATCTCATCTTATCTCGGGAGGTTGGCATTTATGGGTTTACAGAAGAGAAGAGGAGGGAGGGGGGGAGAGGCGGGGGAGGGGATGGTGTTAAAGAGAGAAATCTGGGGAGGGAATGTCTTTTGTACTGATTTTGGGAAATGATATGGCGGGTGGGGTGGGGTGGGGGTGGGGGGGTTATCTGTGGGTGGTGCTTGGGGTGAAAAGGGGTGATTTGCATATGCGTTTTCCTTTCGGTTCTGTCTCTGTTTACTTTCTCTCTCTGTGGAAAGTGTGGTTGTTTGGTTTATACGGTCTGTCTGTATGATCTTGTTTGTCTCGGTTATCTCTCTCTCTCTCTCTCTTCTCTCTCTCTCCTCTCTCTTCTCTCTCTCTCGTCTCTCTCTCCCATCTCTCTCTCTCCTCCTCTTCTCTCTCATCTCTCTCCCTCTCCTCCTCCCTCCCTCTCCCTCCTCCCTCCTCCTCCCTTCTCCCTCCCTCCCTCCCTCCTCCCTGCCCCACCAGCACCACCACCTCCTCCTCCTCCTCCTCGTCCTCCTCCTCGTCCCGTCTCGTCCTCGTCCTCCTCCTCGTCCTCACCTCCTCCTCTCTCTCCACCTCCTCCTCGTCCTCCAACCTCCTCCTCCGTCCTCCACCTCCTCCTCGTCCCTCATCCTCGTCCTCGTCCTCAACCTCATCCTACTCTCGTATTCCTCCTCCTCTTCCTCCTTTTCCCTCTCTCTCTCTCCTCTTCTTCCTCTTCTTTCCCTTTCTGTCTCCAACAGCTGAACTTCACCTTAGTCTTTAATGCACAAACGCGACCCCATGGATGGCCTTCACCAGCTCTTTGATTTCTGCCTTTCGAAATCGCTCCGCTGGGAACTTGCCGCCGCCTCCCACAGCCCGCGTTTGCTTTCTCTCTCTCTTCTTTTCTTTCTTTCTTTTCTTTTTTTTTTTTTTTTTTTCTTTTTTTTTTTTTTTTTTTTTTTTTTCCTTTTTTTTTTCTTTTTTCTTTCTTTTCTTTTTCTTTTCTTTATCTTTTTCTTTTTTTCTAATCTTTTTTTGTCCTTATCTTTCTTTCTCTCCCTTTTTTCTTGTCTTTCTTTCGTGTTTGTCTACTTTCTTTCTTTTTTTTTCTGTCTCTCTCTCCTCTCCTCTCTTTTCCCTTTTTTCTTTTTCCTTTTTTCTTTTCTTTTTTCCCCTTTCTTGTTCTTCTTTTCCTCCTTTTCCCTTTTTTTTCTTTTTTTCTTTCTTTTCCTCCCTTCTTGTCTTTCTTTTCTTTCTTTCCTCCCTCCGTCTCTCTCTCTCTCTCAATCTCTCTCTCCTCTCTCGTCTCTCTTTCTTTTCTTTCTTTCTTTCCTTTCTCATTCTTTCCTTTTCTCCCTCTCCTCTCCTTCCCTTCATCTTTCTCCTCCTCTCTTTCCCCCCTTCCCCTTCCCTCTTTTCCTCTCTCATATTCTCTATCGTCCTCTCCTCTCCTCGTCTCTCTCTCTTCCTCTTCATCGTCAGTCCTCACTGTCATCTCTCTCTCTCTCTCATTCTCTCCTCCTCTCTCCTCCTCTCGGTCTCTCTCTCTCTCTCTCTCTTTCCAATCTCTCATCATTCTCTTCTCCTCTCCCTCTCCTTCTTCTTCTTCTTCTTCTTCTTCTTCTCTTCCTTTTCTTCTTATTGTTTTTTCTTCTTCTTCTTACTTCCTTATTATTTTAATTATTATTATATTACTATTATTAAGTAATATTACCAAATTCATACTTAAACGCTCTATCTATATGATTATAACTAATAACTAAGTGCTACCTGGATATGTTAATTAGATATGTTAAGTAGAAGAAATAATTTCTTAAGTGATAATTTTTATAAATTGATGACTGATTGTTGCCTTTGCCTTTTATATATTGACTAAAATTATTCTTTTATTTTTTCAGGTAAGACAGGATGCTGTTGGTAGTAATTATTGAGTTATGTGAGTATTGATTATGAGGTTAATGTTTAATTTAATTTGATTTAATTTTTTTAATTTAATCAGTATTAATTATGATTGTGGATTTAATTAGTTTGATTATGGTTCGTTTGTTATATGGTGTTTATGTTGATGACTGTGGAGGTGGCCTATGGTGACGATGGTGATGATTGGTTTACTGTGATGATGATTATGATAGTGATGGTGATGAAGGGTGATGATAAACATGGGGATAAATGATGATGGTAAAATGGGAAATTATGATAATGGTGAATAATGATGAGGTGATGATTATGGTGATAATGATGATGGGTGATTTTAGGATGATGATGATGGTGATTTAGGGATGATGAGATGGGTGATTTTAGGATGATTTATGATGATTATGGTGATGATGATGACG